TTGACAGGTATCAGAGGAGGAAGTGAGTAGCAGGCATTACATAGCAACTTTTGACAATTTCAAATGGGAAAACAGATACTCACTTGAAATTTCCTTCACACCACTGCCTTTGGAGGAATTTTTGTGGTCTTGTTCAGGGAGACGCCTCAGCCTTGCAGTACTGGATTGGCTCATTGCTGTCTCTCCCACCTGTGCTCTCTGTGGCTTCTCTCTCCTTTCTCTCTACACCTTCCCCCTTCCCTCCCCAGCAGTTTCTCTGGTGCAGGTGGCAGAGCAGTTCCACATTCTGTTGCCTTGGCATCTGCTGACAATAGTCATCTCTAACGCCATGAGCCTATCAAAGCAGTTTTGCAAACAAGACAGGTCTTTAAGGTCTCTACCAATATTTCTTAGGGACATTTGTTTGTTTTTCACTGTCATTGGAATTAGCATGGATGAGTTTGAAAATCCCCAAGTCAAGAATTATTTTTTTTTTACCACTTCAGAAATCCTCTTTCAGAGCTTTACGTTCTCAAGTTTAGAAGGACCACCTTTACCCCTGTCACCGTGGTGACCAGTGACAACCTGCTGAGCTGTTCTTGGCTACAGCTATGAAGACTATCATAGTCCCAAAGCACTTTAATTGTAGCTAGTAGGGAGTCTGAGGGGTTTGTGTTGGAATCTTGAGTACCACTCATGATCTACAAGTGTAGAACTGTAACTGGTAAGAATCCCAAGTCATTTGGGCTCTATATTTCATTAACTGCATGCTATTTAAATATAGGTAAAAAGTTATATGTGGTTAAGAATCGACTATAATTTTAAATAAATTGTAAATTTTTATTTGGGAAAAATCAGATCCCTACAAAGCCTTGACTTAAATAAAAGAGAAAGAGGAATGGGGAATAATTATTTAGTGAGTATCTAAGGGTCCCCTTACACAGACTGTATATGGCCGGCCCTATTATCATTTCCATTTACAGATAAGGATAGAGGCTTAGGGAGGTGAATGCTCATGGTCACATAGCTGGTTAAGTCCTAGAGCCTAGTTTTCATGTGTAATCTTCACAGGAAACTGACATAATAAATGTGTTTTGCTTGCTTAATCTAAATTACATAAATTACCTCAATAATTGGGTTTTCTGTAATGGAAATCTGGCAAGACTTTTGAGAAGCTTGAATTTGCAGCATTTTTCCAGGAGTTCTGTTGTTCTCCTGAGTGTGCTGGTTACCCTTCCTTGATTTAAAAGTTTTTAAAATAATTTCCGTGGTTATAAAAAATTTTTTTCATTCTTTCCTTGTTGCTAACTTCTAGTCCCAGTATGACTATTATAGCCAAGACATTGACATTCACCGCCGGATCATTGCAGTTAAGGCACTCTCTTAATTGGAAGGGGGTGAATGTTAATCATTTAAATTATTATTATGATATTTTCAGTGCCTAGAGTGCCCAGAAGTCTTTTTAATATGGAAATCCACCAAATGATAACAGGAAAAAATTTACTCTTCCCTGTGTAGTTATAATTTAAAGGTGAAAATGAGTACAATGCAGCTAAATGAAATTATTAGTTGGTGTCAAACATTGTAACTTTATGAGCTATGAATAATGTCTTTCCCCAGAGTCTTCTAAGATGTTTGTAGGAAATTAGAAGTACAGCATAGATACCTCACCATCACTTTGTACAATTTAGAATTTAGTTTTTCAGTTTTTATATCCTGTAACATAAGAACAAACCTAATAGGATTAACTCTTAATTTACTTACCCCTAAGACATGAAGATCATTGCTGCAACTTTAGGAAGTGTAAAATCAACGTTAAATTTGGGCAGGTGGCTGAAGACCAGGAGGATTTTTCGTCTGTAATTCTATTGGGCCAGATCCCAGTGGGTCATTTGAAAGTGGCAAACTCTCTTATTCCCAGATCCCAGAGCCAAGAATTTCCTTTATGTCTCTCCCTGTTTGGCCCCTCCTTGCACTTAGCTGTGAATGACATTTCCCATTCCTCAAGAAGCAAACTTGAGTCAGCAATCTCCCACGTGAGTTTTGGAAATTCTCCAAAACATCACGCTACTTTAGTACCTTTTGGAAGCTTAGGATAGTCATCTCTCCTTGCTTTAAAATAACTGTGATGAAAACTGTTTGTAAGGCTCAATGACAGCCTGCCTCCTTGTAGAGCCTATTATGTGTGAATCACAAAGCATTCTGCAAACCATAACTTAGTTCTTGCAGCTGCCTGGGCTTGGGAGCAGATCCCATTAATACTGTTTTACAGATGATCAGGCTGGGGGAGTTTGAATGAGCAGCCTCTAGTTAGGCAATGAGTCAGTGGGAAAGTGGGTGGGTGGCTGGGTGGGGGCTTGTGGAACTTTTGACATGCATCTTGAATGTGATGCATTAATAAAGGTGAGGAATTAATAAATAAATGAGCAAGATAAATGGAGATCTATTTGAAGAACTGTTTTGCAATGAGCATTAATTGTTCTAATGAATTATTTAAATGGTGTCTTGGCTGAAATGAATCTGAAATTGCAGTATGTTTTTTCCTGGCAGCTCACTGAGGCATAAGATTTTTTAGGCAAACTGACTTTTGAATCTAGCACTGAAGTAGGTATAAATGGAAGATTGCAAGACTACGACCAGGGCAATTTTTGGTGGCTCCTGATACATGACTTCAGTCACTACAGAGGAAGACATTTAAACTATGCAACAGTAGGAAATACAGTGGGAAATGCAAAAACTAATTTCAATCGATTGAGTGTAATATTTAAGTATGCAACAGTGAACAATTAAAAAGTTGGAAGCCGCTTTGCACGGAGGTCATTCAGTCAGTCCAACTTCTGCTACTCTTAAAACATTCCACTTAAGAAAGAATCCTATTTGCTAAAAGTACTTGAAGAAGCAGAACTTCACTAAGTAATGTTAGAAATGGTCTGTTAATGACATGCGTACCTCTATCTGCTGCCTGAGAAATGATTCAGTCATTGAGGGAGGTAGATCAGTTATCCAGATTGGGCCTGGGGTCTGCACTTTGATTGGGGCTGCCAGAGGACCAGGCTCTACCTCTCGGTTTTGCCTGCTGAACCTTTTGATTTTGTTAGTTTACTTGGTTTGGTGGCGCTGGAGAACCGAGTTAAGTTAGCCGAACTCTAAAGAGACTGATGTATAAACAAGAGTGGACATTTAATTCACATTGAAATCCAATTAGCTTATTTGTGCTGGATACTTACTTAGTGAATTGTATTTCTAGTAGGCTAGGCCAACTGGGAAATCAAATTGATATCAGAATTCTACTTGAAGAGTCTAGTTCGAGAGCTGGATAATCTTAATGACATATTCATTATGTGTGAAGGAGATGCATTTGCCCAGTGGACAGTGAGAACATCTGCTTGGCTCATCAGATACCCTGCAGGCCTCTGCCCTTCTGGAAAGATGACATTACCCTTGACATGCTTCCATTAATGGGACTGCAGGTTCTCTAATGATAATTATCATTTGCCTGGGTATTGAGATGTAGAAGACAATTTAGTCTGGGAAAAAAATCCGTTTAGAAGCCATCTTTTCAAAAGTTGATTATTTCTGAAGATGTGTGCATATTTCACTCATTTTTATCTCTTTCACTTTAGATTGATTCTCACTAGCTTCTATTACCATGCCCATCTTCTGATTTATAGCTCCAGATTCTGGGATGGCACTAAATTCAGGACTACAATTCTTCTTTTTGTTCTTTTTATTTTTTTCCAGTGCAGCATTTAGCTTATTCCATGCCATCTAAAAATCGTATAGCCCAAATTTATATTTACATGCATTACATATAAGATCCATCTTTATTTATTTTTAAAGTATTAAGAAAATTGAAGTATAGTTAGTTTACAATGTTATGTTAATTTCAAACATACAGCAAAGTGATTCAGTTGTATGCATGTATGTATGTATGTATGTATGTATCCTTTTCCATTATAGGTTATTATAAGATATTGACTATAATTCCCTGTGCAGTACAGTAGGTCCTTGTTATTTATCTATTTCGGACTACTACTATTCTTTTTTTTTTAACTTTTTTTTTAATTGAGTTATAGTCATTTTACAATGTTGTGTCAAATTCCAGTGTAGAGCACAATTTTTCAGTTATACATGAACATACATATATTCATTGTCACATTTTTTTT